TTCACAGTGGATTTGAAGGCACTCCTGTATGACTTAAAGGAAGGACTCGAAGAAATGGTTTTGTGCCCTTTTTTCCGGCAATTAACTTTTACTCTGTGAGAGAAAAAGTAAAGAAAATCTTATGTACACGGCAAGCGCGAAACAGGTTTTTTTCACGTACAAACGGCAAAGCGCAACCGAAAACTTGATAAATGGCGGGAAAAACAAGGTCGTTCACGTTTCACGTAAACACAGTGCTAAAATCTATCTAGTACTTCATTAGAGTACAGCTCAGAGGTTTTTGTTTGCATGGTCAAACACAAGGGTTTGATGTACTTTGAAGTCATCACTACATCGTATAGCATGAGAGACAGTACCCAATGAAAATAATCCTGAGTAGGATTCATTTCAATCATAGTCCCACAATAGGGTTTCATACAAAGAATTAAAAGTTAGAATCGCCATGCACAGCATAATAAACAATATCTCATTAGACGTAGCGCTATCCATAGACTTAAAAGTCAGTTCTGCCTTACGTAATTCAACAAACATATAAGTGCAGTGGAATAAACACTTAGTAGTTTTTATAGATTACAAATCAGCACACGAGCCAAAGATGGTTGAAGTTACCTTCTAAGGCGTGTAATTGTTTCTGTCGAACATTTCTTAAGCTATGAAGCAACAACATAAACGCCCAAGGGACCTATTTTTTTCACTTACAATGAGTTTTCTCATTCAGGAAAATTTCAAAGCTACAGGATCAAGTGGTCCAAATTTGATTCAGATCGATTAAAGTGGATTAAGATATTCGATTACTTCGTTACCGACCCGAATCGGCAAACGTCACTGCTATACACGATGAAGAGCGAACAAGACAACGACATTTTCGCGGATGGGCGCCGATTCCGAGCCCGTGAAAGATTTCGGTCCTACGACAAAGCCTACTATGGAGATGATTTTACCGGAAGTCACGTGTTAGAGATTGAAAGATGGTCACCCGTTGACACTGGGACATACAAGATTGAAGTGCTCGTTCCCAGTAGAGGTGTAGGGAACCAAGCCGTTATAGAACTGCGTCATGAAGGTGAGAGACTGACTATTTGATCCGTTGACGTCCGAAGACGTTCGAAAATTGCCATCGATATTCTGCATACTTTCGAAAAAGTTCCGAAGATCGTAGAGGCTTTCCTGGAGAGCTGACGCAAACGCTTTTTGTCCCGTGTGTTAGCATTGTTGGGAAAACAGCCATAAAATTCAGAGACG